TTTTAAGAGTAAAAGTAAATATATATAAATATATTTTAAGAGTAATAGTATTATTAGTATTATTAATATTTAAAGCGGATTTTCTTATTAAGTAAAGCGCCGCTTTACTTAAGATTTACGTATTACAAAAAGCAGGCAAGCAAGAAAGCAGAGCTACCCGATTTGCTTTTATAATAAGTGGTTACAAGTGCTGCGCTACTATAATTACAAGCTATATATACTTTAAACTTAACCTACTATTAGTCTAAAGGGCCTTAAATTGCTATAATTAGCTTGAATTTGAAGGCCGGTACGTACCTTTGTGGATTGCGGACCTGCCCTAATAGCCCCAACGACTTCAAAATTCGATAGCAGCTTCAAAAGCCCCGAATTCGATAGCAGCTTTAAAAGCCTCGAATTTGGTAGCATTGAAAGCCTTGAATTCAACAGCCTCGAAAGCTTCGAAAGCTTCAAAAGCCTCGAAAGCCTCGAATTCGATAGCAGCTTCGAAAGCCCTCGAATTCAGCAGCCCCAAAAGCCTCAAATTTGACCCGCCCGACTCATCGCTTTGCTTATATTTATGACAAGGGCTTACGTTGTCATAAAACCTACGTAATCAACTTGGGGCGCTCGCTGTCCTTCCGCACGCGAAGACTGACCTTTAATAACCTATAGACTGGTGTGTATCCCTTAATCTCTCTATTCTCGGCGGGGATATCAGTCTTTTAGTTGTGGAAGACGTTTCGGGCTCTTCTCCGATAAAGGTTATAGTGTTTAGCTCTCGAGTTCCAGCCCTTAAAATGGGAGAGGCTGATATTCGGCAGGGATATCGGTCTTTTGGTTGTGGAAGACGTTTCGGGCTCTTCTCTGACGAAGGTTATGGTGTTCGGCTCTCTAGTTCCAGCCCTTAGAATGGGAGAGTCTCTGGTACAGATCCTGATATTCGGCAGGTACCTTTTGTTTTTGTCCCTCAATTGCTTCTCCGTGGGCTCTTAAAATATTATTTAAATATATTTTAAGAGCAAAAATAAATATACAGCCGCAGGTATGGCCAGTCCATCACACACGCCTGGAAAGCCTCAAATTCAGCGGCAGCTTCAACGAGCCTCGAATTCAACAGCCTCGAAAGCTTCAAAAGCTTCAACGAGCCCAAATTCAGTAGCAGCTTCAAAAGACTCGAATTTTGACCCCCCGGCTTGCCGCTTTGCTTACACTTATAACAAGGCCTTACGTTGTCATCAAGCCTAGTAAAAGTTAAATCTAGCGGCGGTTATTTGAGGCGTACTGGGTAACAGAACAACTACAATATCCGATATCAACACGGCAGCCGCTACAGGCCTAGCCGCACAAGTCAAAATCGAGTTAGCAATACCAAGCAACAGCGATAGTTTTCTATATTTGACGACGTTCTATATTTGATAACGTCGGATTTGGTTCAACCAAGCTCTCAGATTTGCTCTCTTATATATATTTTTATAGTATTACTAGACAGTATACTAGAGGTAGTAAGACTAAGTAATAGTAATAGTTTTCTATATTTAATAATATTGGATTTGGTTTAATTAAGCTCTTAGATTTACTTTCTTATATATATATTTTATAGTATTACTAGATAGTATACTAGAGGTAGCAAAACTAAGCAATAATAATAGTTTTCTATATTTAATAATATTAGATTCGGTTTAACTAAGCTCTTAAATTTATTTTCTTATATATAGTAATAGTTTTTTATATCCCTTTAT